TGTTCCTATAGAATAAAAATAATATAATTGTAGTGACAAAGTTATGAAATTCTATAACTAACACACACACACATATATATGACATAACATTCCTTACATAATTACACAATTTTATCTTTTAAATTGAATGAAGTAACTCTTAATATAAATTATTAAGTACGGTAATCTAATGATATCTTCCCAACACATTTTTGTGATTATTTCATCTTAAATTGAATAAAATAACTCTTAGTTTAAATTATTAAGTACGATAATTTAGTAGTAATTATCTATTCTTATTTCTTTAAAGGTCATTAGTTGAAATCAAAAGATATGAAATAACATAATGTGGCTTAGTTCAGTATAATATATTTAATGGATGAGTTGCATTTGGTGAGTATTTTCTAATTGTTTCGACTTTGTGTGTGGAGTAGCATTAAAGGTTGAATGGTCAAGATCATGTTGGTGAGTAAGACATACACTTTTCTTGGCTGTAGGTCACGTGCATACTTGATCATATGTACCTGCCACATGGGAACGTATAAATAAATAGTATTTATAGTCCAACTCTAGTACCTTACCCTATCTCGGCTCTGTGTATTCGAGCACAAAATTTTTTTTTAGTGTTTAATTGTTGTAAAATATTTATAAATTAAAAAATAATTTATTTATTAATTTTTTTCAAATTATTTTACAAGCCCCACTTAATAGACTCGATCTCAATTTTTACCTAGACATTTATCAAACACAGAAAAATAAATATAAAAAATATTTTAGGTCGAAACAAACGAACAGAAACCTTAATCATCAATTATTATTATTATTTTTTTGGATAAACCCTAATGTGCCATGTTGGCCTCCCATCTTCTTCAATACAAGATTTTTCCCATCTACTTTGCAATGCTACCACTATTACTTTGAGTACGTGACACTTTATTTTTAAGGTACAATATTTTTTAGACCGGGTTCATAAATATATATATTTTTTAAATTTAATTTTAAGAAACATAATTCTTAAAAAATAGTTTTCTTTAGTTGAGTTTTCATAAAATTACAACTAAATTAAAATTTTGAATAGTTTTTGGAGTTTTTAATTATAAAAAAATAGCAGTTGCCTCGATAGTCCAGTGAATTAGTGTCTCCCGTGAATATTTATGTGTTAGGTTTCGACTTTCTATATTTACTAATTTAATATCTAACACTTCATATCTTGAGGAAAAAAAAATAAAAAACTTTTCTAAAAAAACTAAACCAAATAAATTCATATTTGGTTGCAATTTTTTAAGTTTTTTTTGTTTTCTTCTTAAAAATCAATTAAGAAATTTATTTTAAAAAGGTTTCTAAACCAAATGTATCTTATGTTTCACAATTCTTATTTTGAAAGTGACACACTTTAACTTTAAATAAACATACCCTTATTTCCAAGGTTCAATGCTTTTACTTTGAGTTGACATACGTACAATTTTTTATATGTTTTTGTCCTTCAAAAAAATTGATCCAAACATACTCTTAATTCCGATAGCTCTTATTTTGAAAATGAGACTTTTAATTCAAATAAATACACCCTTATTTCGGAGGTTCAATACTTTTATTCTGAATTGACAAATCTTATACTTTCAAAATAAATAACATCATATTCGAATTAAATATGTGTCACACATCCAAAAAAAACAAAAAATAAAAATAAAAATAAAAATTTTTGAACCAAACTAATTGTGTTGTAAATGCAATGACAATGAAAGAGAGAACCCCCCTCCCCATAAATGAAATCACATTCTCTCAAAATTTAGTGGCTTATAATAATGATAAGCTCACCGGGAATCGGTATAGCGTGTCGGTACCGACACCCTTACCACCGACAGGCTTACAGGCTACAGCAGGTGATAGACGCTGACATGGCTTGGATTAACCGGCAAGTGAAGGTCACCGGTACATATACCGACGCACGAGCAATGTACCGCGTCGGTGCGTTTATTTTTGACTTTTTTTAAGGCTTTCCTCTTTGTCTCGTTGACATTGTTTACCTACATAAAATATACATGTATATATACGTATACAGTACGTAGATATATTGATTATTTTATTCGCAATAATTTGTTATCTGACATTTCACGACACGTTGTAATTTTTTTATTTAATTATAAACTTAATTATTGAATGTTGATAGCGACTGATGTGACTGAGGTAAATATTCAAGAAATAGATTCTGTTCTTTTTAAGATTTAGGATAAATTACATTGACACCCTTAAAATCTTGGTTAATGTCACTCAAATATAAGTAAATAATTTTTTTAACAATGATATCCCTATGGTTTCAAATATCATATTTATTCCTAATTATTTAATTCAATTATTTAACTTTTTTTTTTTTTTTTGGGTTCATTTTAGTTAGGGATGATAATTCGTGTTCGCAGGTCATAATCGTGTTATGAACTTTCAACATTAATCTAACCTATTTATTAAACGGGTTACGCGTGTAACTTGTTTAATAAACTATTTACATAAAAAAAATTATATTATTTAAATTATTAATAATACTGAATAAAATAATAAATACTAAAAAAATATAAGTTTTAATAAACCAAATTACTAAATAGTTTATAGTTTACATAAGATTAAATTATAAGATACAAATTTATATAGTAATTTTAGAATTTAAATATAAATTTATTTACGACATATATAGTTAAACGTATATAAAAGGATTAAACGGGTTGAACTTCTCAACCCAAATACGATATGATTAACTAAACAAGTTAATCGTGTCGACCTGTTTATAATCAAAACCCGTTTAAGGTCAACCAAAACCCGTTTAACTTGTGTCGTATTTGCGGGTCGTGTCAACTTTTGCCTCCCCTAATTTTAGTAATAGGCGCCGACACTCCCTCTCTCTCTTTTTGATCTCGAGCAAGAATGTTTTTTTTTGTCCCCTGTTGTGGCGTGTCTGGGTTGGCTATGGCTGTTTAATTTTTTTTTTCCCACTCTGACAGTGGTTATGGTGGTGTCTAAGTTATCAGGATGTTTCAAAATTTTTATTTTTTCTATTGTGGTGGTGGTTCTTGTAGCGTTTAGGTGCCATGGTTGTTTTCAAATTTTTTTTTCTTTTCTGCTATGGTATTTGGGTGTGGCGGCGGTAATGGTGGTGTACAGTTATCTGGCTATTTAAAAAAATAAAAATTTATTTTTATTTTTATGCTGTTGTGGTGCTTATGGTGGTATAAATTTTTTTATATATAAATTATATCTATGTGTAGAAGAGATAAATATGTTAGTTTGGTCTATTAAATTTAATTAGTAGGTTAAATTTGTAATTTTATGATTTAAATGAAATTATTGACAAGTTAAAAGGTTAAAAAATAATTTCATATAATTTTAAAAGTTCGAAAGAGGCGATAATGCATATTTTTCAAACTTTAGAAGTGTTAATTAAAAAAGGTCATTAACCGTTGACCAAAGCCTTTACAATTTATCAAAAATAAACATGTGAGCATGAGGGTAAATCAAGAATGCAACAATAATAATATTAAAATATTTCGTCTCGATATAATGTATTATATATTTTATTATTCTAATAATATTTAAACTATATATATATTTTTTAAATCTTCTAATAAAGGATTCTATTAGTATCAGTCTTATGATACGATTTAAATTACATCCCTATTCATTCATACATACATACGCGTGACTAGCGTCATAGGCGCCGAAAACAGGGAATTGAAAGGGACGTTTACATGCGAGATCTTGTGATAAAAGTTTGAATTTTTTTTTTGGGTCTGTATGAAAATACTATATACTTATATATATATAAATATATATATATATGTATATATAGAATAGCATGGATTTTTGCGAACAGAGGCATTGACGAGTCAGGCATGTGCAATGTCCATGTGGGGTGGGGCTTCAATCAGCTCAACACTACGTGACAACAACGCATCCATTTTTATATTCTACCTTGACTCTGCCTATTTTTACCTTCTTTTTCATTAGCCTTTTTATTTATTTATTTATTATTTATTATTTTTAATAAGTTGGGCAAGCAACAAGTCTCTAGGAGAATACAAACTCTAAATCATATATATTTTTTTAAAAAAGAAAAATGGTATAATTTCTCTTTTTATAAAACAGATTTTGTGAGTGTATGACTGTATGTACTACATAAATATGAACTTTCAATTTGAATATATATATATATATATATATATGAACTTTCAAAAAATACACACATATGTTTATATTCTCTCCCTGTGTATATATATATATATAATTGTATTAGGGAAAGATTTGAAATTGATTCGAAAAGATATGACTTTGTTTGTCAATTTCTAGAAGAATGAGCCCAAAGTCCAAAGCCCAAAGAGTATAGGTTGATGATATTCAAAGAAACTAGGTCTAGTTTGCGGTGGGCTTAACTTAGGCCCAAATCTCATCACGCCCAAAATAAGCAAATCCAAGGGCCTTTGGTCCGACTGAATCCAGGGTGAGCCCAAAATAACCATATCACAACATTGTTCATTGTTGACTTCACAAATGCACATCCACACACACTTGATCAACCCCACTGCATTAACTTGTTGGGCCTACTGGTCTTCGGTGGCGTCGGGTCGAAACTCCCAAATTTTTAACACCCCAATTTCTAGGTCAAGGTTTTGAAACCGATAGAAAAAAAAGAAAGAAATAAAAAACAATAAAACTTTTTGGGGCACAAAATCTGCTTAGTTTTCACATTAGACCTATGTATACGAGAGAGAGAGAGAGAGAAGAATAAAAAATTATGTGTGGTATGTATGGGGCATTTTTAGAAGAGAGAAAAAAGAGTATTTTAGGGATTTTAGGTGTTAAATATGTCACATGACTATTTAACGGTCATTTCTTAACGGCACACTGACTACAACAAGATTTTGTTTGCAACATATCTAAATACCATATAGATTTATATACACATATACAATATAGATTTACATATTTAAAAACCATATAGATTTATATACACATAAGGGTGTTACGTGCACGAAATGTAAACCATAGGGGTGATTTTTGTACTTTCCCCTAATAATATTAAGAAGAAGAATTCATACTACAAATGACAAAAATCTACACTGATCACAAAGAATATAATTTGAATAAAAGACATAGTTAACGCGACTGAACTTTACAAATTGAATTGTCCCCACCCAAAGAATTAGCTGACACCCCCATTGATCTTCGGATTTGAATGGAAAATTTACCTATACACACAGTTAAAATCATCATCACAATTCATCTCTTTTCCCGCCATTTTTGGCCTGTCCTTGGGTTACTCGGACCGATTTGGACATGTCGAGATGATTAAGCCGACATGTCCCAAGAAGGAATTCTGGGAGCTCTTCTTGTGTGTTACCCTGCAAAAGATTTTTCCAGGGTTATATGTTTGAATGATCCGTTTTGCCACAATGTTCTTTTCCCAGAACAATAAGAGGGTTGCGTTAGGTAGCTTGACAGCCAACGTAAAACTTTGTCATGACCAATACGACAAACATGAATCTCGAGGGTTTAGTTACTTTACCTGAATCAAGAATGCCATTTCGACGACCAAATTGTTCAGGTATCCAAGAACAAGGCTGGCTACACCCCTTGCCACTGTTGATGACCCGACATCAATATCAAGCTGGAAATTTCAACACATTCACACAGTTAACATATTATAACAAACCTGAAAATTGCATACCAATAGAAGAGAACCAAAGTAACGTGTTTTAGTAATGGGTTAATGTTTAATTCGCATTGTAGCAAGTTTTTACGTGTTCATGCTTTATAATTATATCGGTTTCAGAAAATGACCTACTTTTAGTGCATGAATGTGATGGCATAATTATAACCATGCCTTCAAAATGCATGGTCTATGATAACATGCTTTTGTTTTTACCTCGATGTAGTTCTTCCCTCGAGCATAATTTACTTCAAGTGCTTGACCAACCAAGCAAGCTTTCTTTCCCACACTCTGCTTTACTAGCCATGATCCCTAAAAGAATAAACACACCACAAATGCAAATCATCAAAAGTGAGCAGCAAATATTGGCTTTCATAAGAACACCAGAAAAATGAATTATTTTCGTGACAATGTGAAAACGAAGATAATTGTAATTCACACAATAATGGAGAGTGGTTTAAACCATATTTGCTTCCTATGCTACTATGCTAACCTTAGAAATGTATGGTATGAGCTTAAACCTAGAATTCCGGTAGGCATTATCCCCGTTGACAAAGCGCTCGAGTATAGGAGTTTCTTTCAAAGGAGTTTTCGTCATGTAATAGAGTGCCAGACCATATGTAGTTGTACCTGGAACCTGATTCATACCATGTTGCACCTTAAGTATACTGATTCTATGGGATAAAATATAACAAAAATGATGAAAACAACAATAGCAACAGTCACCTGCATGTTAATGATGAAGAAGAATTCTGGTCCACCCTGTGTTGCATATTTCTGCACAATTACCAAGAAAACTTGTATAAGGAGAATCTCTGTTCAGTTATACAAGAGTGTGTCTTCTATGTGCATATGTAGTTTGCAGAGATGATTATAAAATAAATTCATAATAATAAGAAAGTTACATATGCTTTCACCTAAAAAAAAGAATGCTACATCTGCCATTATCAAACCTGAACAATGCTTCCAGGACGGCCACCAATATCATCTTCACGCTTATCAGATCTTAGCCAATCAGCAGCAAATATTTGCATCAATGTGTTTTTTGCCTTAACCTGGTGAAGAGATGCGAACGATTTTCAGACTTAGAACAAGGACCATAAAAACACTGCTGAGAGAAATAAAATGATGTTCCAATATGCATCCCGGAAAGCCTATACTATGGAAAACCATTCCAAAATGACAGCCACCTTAAATGATCATGACTGCAATCACAGCAAACATGCATGACTAGTTAAATAGGCTTGTTTTAGTTGCTGTAAAACATAATGGACACATATTGATGTATCCAAACAGCCTCTTTTCCAATTGATACAAAAATAACAAGTATTCTGGAAATTGTTTAAGCTTTGTACTGAACTATAAACATCCTTTACGATGCCATGCAAGGACTTCTACAAGCGTGACAGATAGGCTTGGGCAAAATATGAGAACATAATGCAATTCATAGATTGATTTACTGAAAGACGAACAAAATTAGCCAAATTGCCAAAAAGGAAAAGGAAAAAGAAAAAGTTAGCTAACTTTGATAGGACTAAGCATCTCTAGGTTTTGACAAGTACAAAAAAAGTCAAGTTGGTTATGTAATCTAGTAAACTGATATCGCATAACTACAATTTACATTGCAAAAGTGTACTGCATTAATCATAAAATTTACTTAATATTTGAAGCCTCTAAGTCAAACTAAGGTTATTAGGTATCTTTAGTAACTTAAGATTCCTATATGGATTTTAAAATTTAAAATTCTTTTGTAAATGAAAGCTAGAATTAAAAGGGAACCTTCTTTTGATCTTCTAGATAATTATTTCCACGGATAAGAAATGACGAAGGATCAGCAGCAGCCCAACTGCAAGGCAAATTATAACTAGGATCTTTTGAAAGAGTGGACCCATAGAAGCATGGTGCATTGTTTTCACAAGACACCTCTTGTAAGTCCATATAACCTTTCTTCTGAACTGCACATGAAAAAGATCGAAGCCAAATCTAAATCATGCACCTACACAAAATAATGCTCTACATAATCATCCTAACAAGGCTCACCTGCAAGATCATGTAATTTTTTTACAAAACCAGCAGCAGATGACAGTTTAGGTTGGTGCTTATCCTGCATATCTCAGTGTAAAGAACCATGTCAGGAAACAAAAAGCGGCACTTATAAATAATAGGACATTACAGAGTAAAATTCATAAACAAGGACAACAAATAGTGAAAAATCAACATAATCAAACAATCAGATGACCACAACCATCAAAATTTCCATAAAACTCCTTTTAGAACTACTCAAAATACTTTGTTTGTAAAGTAATATATTCAGAAGATGAAGATCATTCATATCCGTTAAGTACACCCCATACAAATTAAAACATGGAGAAGAGCTTCCAGCATCTGGGTTTGCTCTCTGAATTTATTAAAAAAATTGTACAAGCAATGAAATGTACCATTCTTATTTCTCATCAAACATTAATTATATCTGTATAATGGAACTTCAGAGTAAGAAAATATCATGCTGAACTAAAACAAAAGGTGGAATCAAGGATTGAAAATAAATAAAAAATCCAACACAAGTTTTTGAAGTTTGTTTATACACTACTTAATAGTAAAAGTTCAAGCTTGATGAGAAGTAAGTACTTGATAGCGCAATGCTGGACTCAAAGACCAATCATGCTCATCTTCTGATGGTTCAGGAACATCAAAGAATTCATCAGCCGCGTCATTCAGTCCTGTGAGACTTGAACACCCTGAAAGAAATTTGTCTGGATCATCTTCCATATTATTTTTCTCCATCTTCATAAACTCTTGAGGATTTTGAACTTCTGTTTTGATATCCTCTTTTTGTATTTGAGGTGACCCAATATCTCTTGTCAACTCTCTAGATGAGAATTCAAAGGAATAGTTTCCTGCTTTTGCTCTAAACAGCTCTCTCAGTGCTGCAAAACAAAAACAGTAATAGTGACAATAACATGTAAAAGATTTCCAATTGCAAAAAGCTTTAACGGAAAAAAAAAAAAAGTGCAACGTTTTCAATTTGTAGAATGGTACCTGCAAGTCTTACGAGCATACGGATAGTTATGGATCGCACAGAAGCTTTTCGTACATAAGATTTCCAGCTTTTCCAATCAATAGCAAGCATGTGTTTTACAACTGAATCTTTTCCTTGATTTACAGGAGATATTACATATCCTCCACCTGCATGATAACAAAAACTAACATTAATATGGGATCGCTAAAGAGGAAACTTCTAAACAAAACTATTCCTAGGCCGAACACAGCCAAACCATAGGCCAAAGCTTTCAAAGAGAAATTGTAGGATAAAGCAGTGTAAATGATTCAGAAAAATAAACCAAGTGGTAAAAAAACAGTGAAATAATAACATCATATTGTTTCTCACTGAAAAAAATACAGTTATGTGTTCATAAAAATCATCTAATCTTATTGCTGGCATCTTAAGCTGATAAAAGATCTAACTGTTGAAACTTGGTCATACAGCTCATAGAAACCACTAAAGCAGTCAATATTTAGAAACCATATCTGTCCTTGATAAATTTTAAAACCATGAAGTGTCTAAGTATATAAGATCTGGGCAACAAAATTGCACAAGAAGCCTAAGAATCTGGCATCCTTTCAGCCCTCTTTCAAAATTCAACAACATTTTCGCCTTTCATAGAATAGTGCTTAGCCCACATGTCCACTAGTTTGTGTCCCTTTTTTTATAGGACATACCCATTTTGAAAAAAATCCAAAGTAAGTTTCTGTGATCTGGTTTAAGGAAGAGTTACAGTGTGAGACATCATTTGGTCAATTGGAACACTATGGGGCTGTTTGCATAAAATTAAAATTATAGAGCTGAATTACTAGCATTTTTTTTTTTTGAAATGCCGAACTGTCCTCATCCAATTTTCCCGTCTTTAACACACATGGTGGACTGGCTCTTATCTCACACCAATGGTACTTCTTTGAAGTCTATGTTTCTTAAGTGCCTTTTCCCGACAGTCATTTGGTCTATTTGAAGCCAAAGAAATGCAACCCTACACAATGGAGTTAAGAAATTTTATAAAGATGTGGTGCAAGGAGTCTTCTCAGAATGCATGACACTTTTGGGGTTGCAGCAGCAAGACTTTGTTACTATATTTCCATCTTCTTAATGTTTGCCTTCTGTAACCATTACCTTTGGCTTCTGCCCATATATATATATATATATATATTTTTTTTTTTGCTGTGTATTGGAAATGGTTCTACTCATTTTGTAAATAAGGGCATGCCCTCATTATCTTTTGTACTCTTATGAGTTTCATTTTCTATAGAACAACCCCATTCAGAAAAAATAAAAAATTGAATGAAATTATATCAAAGGATGAAATTTTCAATTAAAGTTTAATACAAAAACTATCTTTAAGTAAGCTTGTTTAGTGTCAAATGAAAAGCCAAGTCTCTTTTACTGATTATTCAGATTTTTTTTCAGTATAAACTACTTTTAATGTAGTAATCTACTAAGCGTCATTAGAAGAGGAACTCCGAAAGAACTTCAAATAAACCATCAAACCGCCATGTTTAGGCTTGGGAAGATGTGCTTCTTAAGGTAATCTCGTCATGGGGGATAAAGCGCAAATGGTTGTGGATATTTTGTAAACATCAACTTTTCAGGAATGTAGTAATTAAAAAATAAGTATAAATAGGAACTTGCAAGAAATGGTTGGAAATTTATCTCTCAAGGTACTTGTACTTCTACATCGTATAAGATTTATCCTTGGTGATAAATGGAGGAAGTGCTTCTGGAGCAACTGCATGTTCAAAGAATAAATTTCATAATTCTTCAAATTTACTAATTGTCAACCAGCCCCATTTCTTATGCTAGGTTTGGTACAAATCATGGAAAAACTAAAAGAAAGAAAAGATAGGTGGGATGGAAGAAAAAAACTGCCCTTTCTTCCCTTTATTTTCTAGAGAGAGAGGGAGAGAGGAGGAAAGAGAGGGGTTGATTGTTTTATTATTATGCCCTTATATGTTAAAGGAAGGTGTTGTTTTGAGGGGACAAAACTCCTCCTTTCCACCTAATTTAAGACAGAGAATATGTTAGGTCTAAAGAAAGCACTTTCCTATTCTCTTCCCTTTCGTTCTCCTTTCCTACCATATAGTAGAAACTCTACCCATCTCTTCTTTTTCTCTCCTAACCGCATTCCTTCCTCCACTCTTCCCTACTACCACATGGATCATAAGTTTTACATGCAAAATCATTTGTCCTCTCAACGTTCCCAATAAATTTTTTTTTGGTCGATCTTAATGATTGTAAAACATATAAGCTTTCTTAATTTTTCTCTCCTTTCTATAAGGTTTAGATTTCATCTTCTACTCCAGTGAAAGGGGTTGAAATTCAGATCCCAATAGCTCAATCGCTTCCAAATACTATTTCTGCTTCCTTATCTTCCACGGAACCCCATTAGTTTGGACGTTGGCCATATGAAAGTAAATGCAAATGAGATGTTTCTTTTAGAAAGACCTAACAATGACCTTATTCCAGATTGTTCGGTCCTGTGCAAAAGTAATATGGAAGCCCTAGTTACTATTTCATCCATTGCCCGAAGTTCATTGCTCTTTGAGAAAAGGTTTTTGCCCTTGACATCAACTTGGTAACGGTGAGATATATGTTCCTTACTAGATATATTTTCTGGGAGCTTTAGTAAGGTAAGCAAGCTAAAATTATCTGGCACTGTGCTGTTATGGCAATTATTTTGAGATGTTTGGACTAAAAGAAAATCTTAAATCTTTGAAGACAGTATCCTCATTTGGGGAACTCTGAGAGGGAATTCAGTTCCTTCTCTTTGGGCTTCCTTATTCTAAAGAGTCACAAGGTTTGATTTTGGCTATGATTTTGAGAGAATTCTTTGGGGAAGGTCTCCTGAAAACACAGCCTAAAGTTGTTTCCTTTATACATAATTAGCTGCTTCTAGAGGCAGAGTGAAAAATAACCTGGAGTGCTGCTCTCTTGGTAGTCCAACTAACTTACTAGAAGAGGTATTATGAAATGATGTCAAGACTTGGGAACACAATAGCTACATATTTTAGACTGTCAGATGCAGGTTCAACAGTCAAGGTTAAGTTTCAGCCCTCTTGGATGGCCTTTACTTAACTTCCCTCTGAAACTTTGACAAAGCTTGATTGATGTGATCGGGATGTAATTATGGGCTGAAGTAGATCTAGTTTCATTGGTTCTTGGGCCTAAAATCATCTTATGAAAGAAATAGGAAAGATTTTGGATCCATAAAACTCCTTAATTGCGGTATTAGTTGGGCTCCTACGTTGGCCAACAGAGGGCAGATTCGTTGCAGAAGCACGGGGCTTCTTTAGTGATTTTTATAAAATCTCACTCTTACAGTCTTACCAGCCTCAAGCTTCCAAATTGGTCCGGAGGGTGTAGGGTACCAGCATTATTATTTTCAAGCTATGTTTGTGTAGTTTTTTCTCTCTTCTTACTTGGAAGTTTTTCTCATACTTCTTGTACACTCCTTTCCTATAAATGTTACACTTCCATTTTTTGTTGAAGGAAAAAGTCAACTTCAAGCCAATCTCCATTTATTTGACATTTTAAACAGTAATTAGTTCAGTCCCTTTCCCAAGTGAAGATTTCCAATATATGAATTAAATTTCAAAATATTTTTCAACATTTCAAGACTTCACACCAATTCAACACATGACCAAGATTGCCGTTTAAACTGAGAATTTGAAACCTGAGTTACAACATAATGTGGATTTTTGTGAAGAAATAAGCCTGTGCAGCAAAAGCTACTACAACCCAACAGAACACCATTCCAGAAAGGACTGTAAATTAATTAACCAGATAGGCTTAATTTTTTTTAACTAATTCATTAGCTTCTAAAAGTCAGTAAAAGTACAGAAGACAGTTTGGAGAGCTCTACAGAAGGGATCTTTAGTCTATCAATCAGATTAATTTTGAACCAGAAAACTCATTGACAGTAATAATGGTCTAACCATCCAGAGTGTGCAATAAAATTTCGACATAACCTAGAAAAATGTTCTCCCAACTTCCTTTTCTGGCTTTAACTTGAATATTCTTTATTGTATCTAATCCAAGGGAGGTACATTTGACACATTATACATTTGCATATAGTGCCAAAAATAGAAATGTAAGGTGATGAGGAAAATGTCAATTCCAAAAGCAGCCATCATTTATAAGAGTATACATCACTCAATTGGCAACATCATTATGTAACAGAAAAAATACTAAATAATTGATGTAATTCTTTTGTTTCATCCACATAGTCTGTTCTAAATGCAAATCAGCTGGCATTATTGGGTGGGAAAGAAGGCATTTGCAATTTCAAAATTCAAAGCATACATTACTTTTAAGCCAAGCACGAACATAGCCTCTTTGTGGTGGGCACTTTCTGTGGATCACGGAATGGTACAGAATTACTGCAATAAAATCAGCAAAAGAAAATTAGTGCAAAGATAATGCTTTTATTTCCTAATTTCCTCAAACATTAGTACCATATGTGCCATCATCTTCCCTTCTCCAGTAACGTCGCAACAGTAAATCTCTACGTCTCATCCCCCTGCAAACGATGATATGTTAAACAATATGACCCGTTGAAAGTAGATTCTCTTTAAAGAGGTTTAAGTCTGACCATGGTTGCCAATGGTTGTATAACTGCTTATGAACAATATCTGTATGACCATCAAGGTGCTCAACCACACTGCCTCGGTAAAAACAGAAGTCCCATCTGCAAATACCATGCAATTCAAAGTTTGAATAAGAATGCTCCATTATCAGGGGAGACAATATGCAAAGAGCTAATTCAAATAGATTTGTCCGGAAATAGCAATTGATGTTGGGTATTGGCAATGATGATGAATGTCGAAGTTGAAGAATCAATTCTAAGGTTCCCCCATCATACAGTTTCATGGAGATGATACAAACAACTTGAAGTGGGGGAAATGTAATTTGCTTGTAGACTTGAGAATGCAGTGCTTTGATGGCTGCTGTCATGTATATAGATGGAGAAAACAGGAGAGAAACAACACCATGTTTGGCAAAAGTAATGCATAGTTTTTTTAGTATTATTTTAATTTTTTATTCGATTTACATGCAGCTCCTAAACATTTATAGGCAAGAGATGCAGCCACATGCACAGCTTGTGAATCAAATTCAAGTCCAGTTCTTATAAATTGCATACATCAAAGTTAAATACATCCAGCGGATTAGTGGCCATCAGTCTACAAGCACCTTTCAAATACCATACACTTTAACAAGCAAGAGTGAACACATCTCTTTTATGAATACAGGAGCATCTAAAAGGGGTTGAAAGACCACAGTTATTGTTTAGGACATTAATTACTTTAATTTTTGTTTTAGAATTTTCTAGATTCTAATAGGAGATTTGCAACTCCAACTTCCAACTAAGTCAAGAATTGGTGTAAGGAATAACTTGAAGATCTCTTTGTCAGGGGTCGTGAACTTGTGATTGTATTATATGTGTACATATTAGAGCACAAGGAAATGCCCATGTACTTTAGAGGTAAAATACTCTAAAAACAAGTGACATAGGATAAGTATGCTAGAGTTTATATGCAGCTTTGTAATGATACTATCTGAGAGTGGTTATTTTGGCTAGTGAATTAATTATAGTGGCAAACCCCTGTAGCGCAGAGATTTTTATCCACTCTATTAGCGTTCGAGGAAGATGTTTCTTTGGTAGCAATAAGAAGTTGTCTTTGGGTTTATTCTCTTACTTTCAAAGTCTGTTCAAATTGATTTAAATTACTGCTATTCCAATTGTTATGCTGAACCTTAAACTGAAACCCACAGCAGGGACCTATATTTCCTGATGGTCTGACCTGCAGCTTATCACCACCTCTCATCCCTTTTACCTCTGCTTCACCTTCTTGGCTTCATCCTTCCAGTGCTGGTGATTTAAGAAAGCAATATTTCAGGGGTATGGAACTTGGCGATACATTGTTCCACTCAAGCTTTGGTTGACTTCAGGCAAGTCTAAATTTAGCAGCCCAACATAAACCTAACAACCCTTTTGTATTAGTGTAATGTATTAAAAAGTTGTCCAGAATGAGTGAATTGCACCATAGAGTTCAAATACACAATATTTTTTCTAAAATTAATTCAGTATCACAAGGTACATGTCAATTAAGTACAATGTCTGAGCCCAAAACTGCTTAGAGAAGGCAAAAATGAGTGCTGCTCCAGCCTATGTGGAATGCAGGGAGGGAATTGGAGACAAAAATGGCATTTCACATTATTTTGCACAAAATGTATGCTCTGTTATTTATCTAGGGGAGGCCCTCTAATTTTCATTAAGAGGACTCTTACCAATCTTCCAACTTATTATCTCTCCCTCTTCCAGATTTCCTCTTCTATAGTTAAGAGGATCGAGAGGCTTCATCAGAATTTTTTATGGGGGAGATGAGAGATGAATTTAAATATCACTTGGTGAGTAGGGAGATGGTGTGCAAACCTTGATGATGGGCAGTTTGGGAATAAGAAAATTCAACTTGTTTAACCAAGCCTTGATGGGAAATGGTTGTGAATAGGTTGGAGAGGGATAGACTATGGAGGAGGATCATAGAGGGAAAAGTTATAAATGAGTGGGGAGGGTGGTACTCTAAGGAGGTGATTAACTCTGAGTGAACGGGTCTTGGAAGGAACATCCGTAAGGGTTGGAATGAACTATCAAAGCATGTTCAATTCAAGATGAGAAGCGGGAGACAAGTTTGATTCTAAACTGATATCTTGGTGTGGGGATAGACGTGCTTAGTTCCGAGATTGTTCGGTGAATAAGCACCTCATAGTGGCGTACTGTTATCATCTTGTTAACAGGCAGTTATCATGGGATCTTCAGTTCAAGAGGCAGGTCTGAGAGATGGATGAAATGCTGGCATTTTTCAGTTTGCTTTATCAGCAGGTTGTGGATAGTGAGGAGGAGGATAAGCAGAGTTGGGAGGGATCCAGCATGGGTTTTTTTAATGATATCCTTTTATCGGCTGCTTCAAGGCGATCAGATGGTATCATTTCCTTGGAAAATGATTTAGAGAACAAAATTCCATTCAAGGTGGTGTCAACAGTTGCTTTTGCCAGGATTTTGAGATTGAACAATTTGAAGTAAAGGCATCAAATCGTGGTTAATTGGTGTTGTATGTGTAAGAGGGATGAGGAGTCAGTGAGCCACCTTCTCTTGCATTGCCCAATTGCCATGGATATTTGGACTATGTTCTTTGTCGTGTTTGGTATGCATTGGGTTATGCCAGTTTCAGTGATGGAGGTTCTTGAGTCTTAAGAGGGGATGTATAGTGGGGAGACATGCTCAAGATGTTAGGGGGGCAGGTCTTTTATGTACTTGGTGGGGTTTGTGATGTGAGAGAAATAGGCAGCCTTTTGATGGTGTAGAAGCTCCGATATGGGTGCTGAAACGCCATATTATGAGCTCTCTTCTTTTTGGTTTACAAGGAGGATGTGTATATCTGTAGAGGTATAATGGATTTTTGGATAGTATGAGGCTAGAGGGCTGTATTCTTGTATAGTTATTTTGGGATGTGTTCCCCTTTTGAGTGTCTGTTAATGAAATCTTACTTCTTGTTGAGTCTACAATCGATATGCTCCGATACCAATTGTTAGATCATAAGATCGTCATCCAAGACTATGATATATCAGAGTGTGGGTAGCAAATCAGAGGGGAATCAATAAGTATTATAGATGTTAATTCACAACTAACTTTTCAGATAACCGTTAATCTTTGTGTTCAATTTAGTTAATAGTTTGATTACATGTCTCAATTGCAATTGCTTAAACATAAAAAACAATAAATCAAATATAGCAGAGACAATATATTTTATGTGGAAAATCCTAAACAGGAAAAATAACAAGAGAACTAGTCCAGGTAGATCAAAATTCACTATATGAGAAACAGGTTACAGACTAAGTTACCATACTCTAAGCCAAGAATCACCTAGTTCCTTGTCGACTCAAAATTAAGCAAGATTTCCCCATATCCTCAAGCAGGCAAGATTTCCCCATATCCTCAAGCAGGCAAGATTTCCCCATATCCTCCAGCCACTAATCCATCGACAAACTCGCTCCTCATACAATCTGATACTCCATGAACTGCTGATCTCCACGACTGGTGACGTCTGATCAACTTAATGCTCTTATAGATAATTTTCAGTTATTCTCCTTACTTGATTCTCTCAAACACGTATAGTATGGTAATCCATGAAGAACCCTAGGTTGATTCTCAAACTTTCTTTCTAAAAATATAAATTCTCTCAATAATATGTAAAGAACTGAAAGCTCTTCTGGGAGCTACCCTAAACTGACTCTAAAACCTCATATTATAGCCAATATAGGAACCCCCGTATGACAAGTAAAATTCTTTTAGAATTCTGATTTGAAAGAGTTTTCATATAAGTGTGTCCTCAGGGTTTGATTGATTGAAACTTTAATCGACACTCGCTAGATAAGCTTCGATCGATCGAGGCATTCTGGAAAACATTCTTCTGCCAAAATCTCCATAAATTGACCACTCAATCGATGCTCTTGATATATTAGTCCGGTAACTTTAGGCAGTCCCTCGATCAATCGACCTATTAATCGATACACTCTGTTGTTCAGTCCAAAATACAGTTTTGAAAATTGTTTAACTCCTTTAACTTTGAAAATCCATTTTCAAAAACTCATTTAAAACAAAACCTTGAGCCTCTCCAAAATCAATCTAGTTCATTTAAAGTCTTCCTAAGCTCAATTTACCTGAGCCCTACATATGCGATTGAAGAAGTGGATTTCACATGTGTTCTTCGCAAATTTGTGTCTGCCTTATCTTCAATGGTTGTACTTTAATTACTCAAGACACTTTACACATTACAGCCCAAGTTTTGACATCGGAGTTTGCCCATAGCTTCCTCCTCGGCATTTTCAGGATAGAATTGCTTGCTTCTGTCTAAAGATTCCCCCAGGCCCGAAAAGCTAATCATTTCTATCAATACTTCGGTTTTCAATACTTTCAAAACATAAAATTGTATCTACATTGTGAGTTTGATCTTTTAACACTACACCAAGCACTAAATCCAAACCCAAAACTGCATCAAACAGGTACATTTGAGTAGGTTTGTACATTTGGATTGAAATTTTGCAACAACAACAACAACAACAAAAATAAAAAAAATAAAAAATAAATCAGCAAGTATAACTGTAGAACCCACAATTTTTTACTCTGCAAACACAAAGAATTTAGAGGAGTTGTTGAGAAAGATGTAAACCAGCATGTGCATATGCACGACACACATGATTAAAAAAAAGTAATATTATTGCCCACCATTTGTCCTATCATCAGAGTATAATGACAAGTGGCTATAATTTGCTTCTTGTTGAATTGAAACCAAAAAATGTGGCCATAATTTGGCTTCTTGTTGAATTGAAACCAAAAAATTTGGATAACAGGATCCAGCAAACTTACTCTGATCTGGAGGGACCAATAGACATAAGAGTCCGGAAAATGTCCTCTGAAGTTCCATCAATCACACCAACAGCCATTATTGCTGGATGATCATCCCAATGCTGAAAATAGCAATATATTTCAGCGACAAAAACAGGCAGCACAACCAATGGTTGGTGAGTTGAAAGAGAAACCTACCTTCCCACTGAAATCCCTATCTTTTGCTTCTTTGAATAGCCGTAACCCTGCACAGGTGATAAAATATCAACATATATGTATCGGCCACTTTCAAGGAAAATAAGGATCCTACTTACCATTTTGGCAACCAAAAATTTGCCATGGTGAAGGAGCAATAACATCAGATGTCATCGCATCCACATGCACAGATGATTCAGAAGTCCAGTCTATAGATTTTTTATGTGCCATCCTCTTAGAAACACTTAATCTGTCAGAACAAGGGTAGATAGGAGCGTAAAAAGTCATAAAAAATACAAAGAAATAAGCACACCCGATGGAAGAATTCATGCACTTTTATCCACCAAGCCCCCACCTTCCCAACAGGAGCACAGTACACAATATAAGAAAAAAAAACGTAAACTGTGATATCAACTTCATGATATTCAGGAAGGGGTCTGGAATAAAAATAGACAACTCAAAAGCAAACAGACTTTAATTATGAAGGTGCTAAAGGTTTGAGTACATAGAAGAGCCCTCGGATTGGTATTTACATTAGTTACATAGTTTTCCAATAAAGGGTGTTATATAGGCCTGCTCATCTGACTATGAAAAGGATACAATTGTAAAAAGGAAACAAGGTAACGAACATAATAAAAAGGAAATAGGCAAAAAGATCTCCAGTGACTCTGTAATATAACATGCCAAAGATTTCGATATGATCTTCACATATTCTGCTATTAATCCTGAACAAACTAATTCATCTTTAAATGGAAAGCTAAAACAATATGATGGAAGGCCTTAAAATGTCAGCTAACTGATCAGAGAAGCACACGACTTTCACGTGTAAATATCCGTTATGACCAAGTCATGAACAAAGAGATAGTTGAAACTGTATTTAAACATGAAGATCCTGAAGAATATACAATAACAGCAAGTATCTTGTACAGATACTTAAAGCTAGAGCATGAAACAGTTAGTTGCTTTTTGAATGCCCAATATATAAGATTGGGACCCAGAAAAATCAAGAACATGTAATGACTAAATGCTTATTGGGGCAACCAGCCAAATAGTACTAGGATATGCAGCAAGACTACAAGCCAGAATCAAAGGAACACATGTCTTCATTAAAAAAAAATGTGGCATAAACACCCCAAGTCTTGGGGTCAAGGCAATGATAACCCCTGTGGTACACACAATAGCCTAGAAAGACACATGAAGCGGACTTCGGAATAAGTCAACACAAAAAGGATGGAGACATGGAAAGCACTAACAACCAAAGGCGTGTAGTAAATAAAATATTTAGTGGCCAAAGATAGCCTCATATGGAGATACATGGGAAAGAATAGGGGTAGGAAGATGATCAAAGATATAAGTAGCAATAGAAGAAGCTTCAAGCGAAAGCTTTCTGGGCATGTATGCTTGAAAAGGAAGAGAGACTCATTTGATGATGCTTGCTTTCTGCGACTTCATTTTTCAGGAGTATGTGTGGAATAAGAAACACAAAAAGTGATATGTTGCTGGGTGAGCTTAGGTTTAAAGGACAAAACTAAGTGGATATACTGAAGATGTCCATAAACATTATATAATATTGATACCCCAGTCGGAGATGCCAAAAGATGACCACATATATCACAATAAATAGGTTGTAAGAATGTAGTAGAAAATCTATGACAATGATGGACGGTACATGATTTACCTAAAAGGTTGCCATTTTCTCTTGGAACAAGGAACAAAATCCTTTGCTGGGTTAATTGCAGCATCCTGTAAAGAACGGATCCATCTAGCTGCTTCTTCTGGGCTACTTGCTCCCATCTATAAAGTTTGAAATTTCAAGACCTAAGTACCAATAGTTATACTGGGAAAACAAATTGACAAGAGAACTACCGCACCTTTAGCTGATCATTGTCATTAGAAGTATTATACAGGGTGAAAATAAAGTATTCCTGCAAGTTGTAAACAATGTTATAGCTATAAAAGGTAAAAGAAAGATATATATATATATATACATATTTGGTAGGTACAAAAGAAGAATATGTTCCTTTCTTGCAGGCCCATCAAATAGTTACTTTGTACTGCAAAAAATGACATTAATGTAAGCTACATACTTTTCTATGATAACTTTCTCTTCCATTGTCTGCGACCCGGATGCAAGAGTCTATTATTGCACTTCTCAGTGGCTCCTGATGAAGGGGTTAAAAAGTTCATTTAGTGCTTCCACCCATTATGGAATTGTAAACACAGTCATAAAGAAACATTTAGTAATCCAATAAATTTCTAAAAAATAAACTGCCATTTTAAACAAGGCGGCCACTGAGCATTGCTACCATCAGTGCCAGGTGCTCAAAGTGACTGGCTGCAAACTCAAACCTGCATTCTCATGCTTGACAGCTGTGCTTTTATCATAACTTAATAAAATGGTATAGAGAAGAAACAACATTTCTGGACATGACTGCCAGCTCAAAAGCATAGGAGAAATTTCATCGAGCTAAAGGATAAAAATATAAATATTACCTAGCAAAACGTGCCAAAAAGGAAGATTTTCTTCATTCTTATTAGCACAGTGTTTGTGCACATTGGTCTTTTTCAACTTTGAACTTCACACATTAAAGGGATAGCTTGTGTCATTAAAAGACCATTATCCAGTATTGCTTCTGCCTATACAAGATGTTGGGAGGGGAAGACTAAAGATGGACCTAACTTGCGGCATTATTTTACACAAAGCAACTTCTATCAGGTCCAAAACTGTCTTCATGCTTGTCAGTCAAGCTTTTATAATTGTACCAAGCTGTTGTTGTTTCATTAATATAAATTTTACTATTAGATGGCTGTTTTCACATAACTGTATAGACATTGTCGCATATCTTTAAGGCGAACAGCAAAGCAGGGATTAATTGTTTTGCATTGGTTACTCCCCCTCATCATCCCCTTAGCTTATATTAGGGTACAAAGTGCTCCTCACTTTCATTTTCGACAATGTGTCGGAAGGGAAAAATGAAACAATTTCTATATACCCATTTCATGCTTACTAATACCTGGTAATTTCTCTTTTGACTAATTATTATGCCTGTCCGGCCTCCCGAAGTCTTAACGCTCCAACTCTAATAAATTTGTCATGTAGTTTTATAAGTTTAGTTATATCTTCTTTGAGTATTGTGTTATTAACTATATCACGTTAGCTGCTCAACCAACTTTCCATGTTATTAGGCCAGTTTCCTTCATCATCATCAACATCATCATACGTTAGAGGAAATTTTATCCATGTGAATACCATCCTAGACCATAATATTTTGTCATCCCACATATGCGTTCACTATGAGAAATTCATTGTGAATTTCTCAATATTAACAAGTCGAACTAAAAAATCCGTGTGAGGAAGGAAAAACCATCCACATTTGAATATTATAGATCAGTTTAAGAAGTTACAAAAGTGCAATATAATATTTCACCTTTTTAATGCTATTGCAACAGTATAGTACCATTCCTATGCAGAAGAGATACAAGTTTACTTTGATGGATGCAGTCCTAGGGTCTTTGCTGCTTGGCCTTCTTTCAAGGTCATATCAGCAATGGTATGCATGTTCTTTCAGCATTGTAATCATCGTTTAAGAGTTCCTTAACCTCAAACAAATTTGCATCTATTAGTTTCACTATCCAAGAAGTGTGCATCAAACTGAAGTTTCCTTTTAAAATTCCACATAAGTTATATTTCTAAGTCAGGAAAGTTCATGGAAATTAAAATATATATTTTTATAAGTATTCATGGAAATTAAAATATATATTTTTATAAGTATTCATGGAAATTAAAATATATAAACTGCGCTTCTCCAAAATCATCTTTTGGGTACTATGTGCTGTGCTTTCAGTCTTCTGTCATTTTTTAGCCCTGTATTACAAATCATGAAGCCATCTATGGAGGTGGATCATGGATCACTACAGGGCGAACCCCAAAAAAACTTACTTGGGGCACCGAACTAGTAGTAGGACTATGAAATTTGAACTATTAATATGAAAATAACGTTTAATTAATATATATAAATTTTAATTAATTTAAAACAATATAAGTCTTAATATAAACTAACTAGGAAGATACTTGTAAACCAAAGTATTTCATAGCCCTTAAGTGTATAGAATGAGAAGAAGAATGTACTTGGGTTATTTGACTTTTTTTTCTCAAACTATGGACGTCCAAAAGTAAGTTAGGAGGGGACCAAACTGAAGTTTCTCTATAAGCTGTGGGGAGACCACAATTTAAGTCTTCTTCATATTTTTAAACTTAATATTCATAAGGGGGGCCCGTTTATTTTATTTTTGTCGGTGGTGTGTTTGGGGGCTGGGGTGTGGGGAGCATGGCTCCCCTTAGTCCTCATGTAGTTACTAGTTTCGCCCATGCATACCTTGAACTGAGACACAAATCCATAAACAACAGATCAAGTTCGAAGGAAAAGAGTTTAGGTAGCTACAAGTTGCATTTTTTTTTTTCATGCCTCTACACTTGTGATATGAGCTTTTAACAATCAAAGCTCAATATCTATATTCAAATGACAAATTAAAACACCAGTGTTTATATATTAAATTTTAAAAATGAACTATTTTTAATCGCACTTTCTTTCTTCAGGCAGATAATTACCAATTCCTTTCAGAAATCAAAGATATATAATATTTTTCAAAGTGTTAAGTATGTCAACTGTTTGACACAATATTGTTAAGGAAAACTATCAATAATATATGCAAATATTAAATAAAAACAAGGCAGAAGGAAGAAGTAATCATCATTCTCATAGAAAAAAATTGAAAGCAAACATGACCCAAACACCTCTAACGCAACACAGACTGAAGAAAATTTCAATAAAAAAATCGAAGATTATTCCAACAACAATACAGCAGAATATGTCAGCACTCCATAAAACCAACAGCCCTAGCTTCAAAGCCAATCAACAACAGCAATATCTTGCTATACCAATGAAAACCCACAATGTGTGCGAGTGTAAGAATCCAAATGAATGATTAAAACCTAAAATTAAAAACCCAACAATTTTTTCTTGAAAGAAAACAGAGAATCAAAGAGGCAAACATTGTGTCTCAATAAACAACACCAAAATTTTAACAAACAAGTACATGATTCAAACATATATACACAAACACACACACACACATATAATGGGAAAGAAAAGCAAATGGCAAATGGGTATGACTCGTATACCTCTCCGTCTGTAGTGGGTTTCGATTTAAAGCTCTTGAGGCAGTTGCGATCGAGAACGAAGTACCTTTTACGCGAATATTGCAACCCAAGTCGGTTGAAACGAATTAGATAGAGCCACCCCTCCATTTTTTGTGGCTCACCCATTTGAGAAATCGAACAAACCCACCTTTTCAATTTCCCAAATCTTCCTTATATCAAAATGTTTGAATCCATGATAGAAGATTATGAATTTTCAGAAGTTTTCAAGAACCAAGATGGTTGCTCGAATGAGATTACATATGTATACATGTAAACATATATCTGTGTGTGTGTATTATGTGAAAAAAAAGTGATGGGAAGGTGAGAGGAGATGATCCTCTGATCCCTTCCTGAAGGGAATCAGAGAATCAATGCAGAATACCAGTATTTTTTGGATTTTCCGGCGAAGTTTGCTTTTCTGTTTCCGTCCTGTTACAAATATAACTAATTTGGTGTATATATGACAGAAGTTGACACATAAACAAATTTGAAATACGATATTACCATACTGCCCTTCATTTTCATTTTACTTTTTAACCCAAAAACCAATGGGCTCATTTATTAACCATACTAATAATAATTGTAGGCACTCTCACCATTGTCATGACAACTTATACATGATCAGACTAATAATAATTGTCATGACAAGACACTCTGGTCATAAGTATGGTGACAACTTACATATAACTCATTTATTAATTAGACTAATAATAATTGTCATGACAAGGCACTCTCACTTGTATGTCATGACAATTTACACATAATTCTATATTTTAATATAAGTTACATAATTTTTTTCAATGAGTGTCGTTCTAAAAGCATTTTCGCTCTCATACTACAGACGCATTTTCCCTTCAGTTCTCACTAATTGAAAATTAATTTTGTCATTTTTACGGTCCGCTTGATGTGACTTATGTTCTAATTACAATTATTAATTATTGTATAATATGGGTGTTGCATGATCTTAAATAAAAATGAGTGGAATTCAATACTCCATGTTCAGTGTTGTACAATTATTAATGACTGATTGAAATTTACAACAAGATATAGTTGTGATTAAAATACATAATTTGACAGATGTATAACATGAATGTTGTGCATGAGAGAATTTATCAAGGAAAAAATACAAATGTGTGAGTTTCTTGCTTAATTGCATTATGCCCAAATTGATTAAGATATAAACTACCTTTTATTCAATGCCCAATTTTTAGCTTCATGAAATAAATTTAACTTTCTCTTCTTTTATTATTTTTTTGAATGATAAATTTCATAGAAACAGGATAGAAAAATTAACATTTTTTTTAGGCTTGTAAAAGGGTAATATGGTAGAGTAATTTTTGGATGCTTTCTTCATATTCTATACTATATTCTGATACTAAATTGTCTTACCTCATCAGAGAGTGATAGCTTGATAATTATTAGTATTATTTTTTGGGTAAGTGACTGATTGTAATACAACAAAATTAGAAAAGGTGACTTGTAAGGTGAATCTTTGTTAATTTTTTATACAAAATACATAATTATTTACGTGTTTAGGAGTATATATTTGTTCAAATTTTAAAATACAGTTTTTTTTTTTTTTTTTTAATCATTGGTAGGGAAATACAGTTCTTTTTTTTTTCTTTTTTTCTTTTTTTTTTTTTTTTGCTTAAAATAAGGTTTTGGGATGTGATGGCATCCAAGTGGATGATGCAAAATTCACTTGACTACTCGTTCTTTCCAGAGATTGCCAAAGTCAAGGTGCTGCTTATCTGGCTCTATCCCTCCTATCTTTCACTCGGTCAAAACCAAATTATAATCTTGAGATATATATATATATATATATATATATATATATATATAATCTCTCTCTCTCTCTTCCTTCCCTTTTATTTATTTATTTATTTTTAATTTTTTTAAAAATATCTCCTAATTGGATGATTCTCACCTCTGTTATGATCCATAACAGCTTCATGACACGAGTGAGATTTAAGTTGTGAACTTGCACAACGTAAGGAATTTGAACTCATATTCAGTACTCTTCGAGACACCGAAGGTTTGTCTTGCCAACGAACATCGCTACACCTACAGAGCCTCTCCCTCCCCTTAATTATAAGATGACAAGCATTATCATATAATTTTAAGATCTTAAGTTGAACGAGTGAGTGGTGTGTGCGAATTTTTTGTATGTGAAAATATATATATATATATATATATATATAAATTGAACCTTAAATTCACCTCCTTCTTAAAGTGATCTTAATGCACTTCTGAAACTGGCATAAAAGATCTTTATTAACAAACACATGGTTGTTGGAAGCAGGACTAAGCTAAGTAAATGTTCTTTTGCCTTTTCATTTTTTTTTTACCAAATAATTTATATATACAATTTTCAGTAATGTACATGATAACTTGAACCTTCAATTTTTTTTTAGTAATAAAAGAGATATTATTGATGAATCTTAATTTATTATTTCAATCGATTATCAAAACGATAAGATTTATAAGAAAAGAAAAAAGAAAAAAAAATATTTGAAAGAATTAAATAAGTTAGATTGGTAATCTATTGTATATAATTGTTCATAAATTTAAGGAGTACATTTTAAAACATAAATGAGTCATTTTATCATAACTTTCCAACCAAACCAAATTACTCCAATTGATTGATGACCTTTTACTCCAACATAAAGAGCCATTCAATGGTTTTTTAAATACAACATTTTGTACACTTCTTATCAGCGGCCTAACTCCTATTGGATGCATATTCTGTGTCTTGTTTCTTATCCACTGCCTAACCTATATTCAATAATATCTCATATAGTCTCTCTCTCTCTCTCACACACACACACACATATATTGTTCTTAACCATGCTATCAAGAGTCTAAATTGACAGATTAGGATTATATATTGTTCTTAACCATGCTATCAAGACTCTAAATTGACAGATTAGGATTATATATTGTTCTTAACCATGCTATCAAGACTCTAAATTGACACATTAGCAATATCTATATATATATATACACACACATGTATGTGTGTGTGAGAGAGAGTGAGACTTGTCTATGTTAGTGAGAGGTTGAGTGGTCAACATGACGTTGGAAATTAGGCCCTTAAGCAATGAGCTTGTAATTTAAAACGACATTGATTTGGCCAGTCGGACTAACAACCACTACAAGTCTCACATACTGAGACAAGCCCAATAAGTCAAATCTTGGTATAAATTGGATTTTCAAAAAAAAAAAATTATTTATCATTAATAAAATTGAGATGTTATTCAAAAATGAAAAATACAACATTTTATGTGGAAGGCCATCCGACAACAAAAGAAAAAAGAAGACTGAAAATCCTGTGAAATTGTGGAGTAACCACAAACATACACACACACACACACAAAGAAATATATATTGGTAAGGTTTTCCCAGTTGTTATGGCTTGTGACAAAAGCAAACTAATTTAATTATATAGCCCCCAAAATTTTATAATGTTGAGTCTGTGTCGTACCTACCCAAAAAATTGCATATAGGTTTAGTTTTAATAATCATTGATAGCATAAATTATAATTTTAAGTGCCTAACAAGGCCACTTTAAGGAATTATGTTTAGCTGTTTCCAAATAGTCACATTAAAACATAGTCTAGTTCTGACTTAATTAGATAATCTGTTTGTACCCAAATTTAATTACTACCATAAGTTATAGGCTTATATATTAGTAAAAGTAGCAATCGTATATCTTCTTTGCAAAATAAAGTTAAAACAGATTATATATATATATATATATATATATATATATATATATATATATATATATTGGGTTTACACTCAGTTTGAGTTTCTGGAGACACAATGATAACACATTATCGGTGTAATTAATCAACTATATTTGTCATATTTAAAAAAAAAAAATGCATTTATTTAGTGGGTTACATCAGTATCTGTCACATTTAATTAGTTGGTGATATCATGTAATCAATCTACCAAGCAGTATTTCGGTCTTCAGGCAAGGAGGTACCACTAGGTTATAGTAGATGAACAGATTTTTTTTTTTTTTTTTTCTTAATTGACAAAGATAGTGTCGGACTTCTTAGAGCATTCCATAATTCATCATTAGGCACATGCAGTTCTTCAGTCCGACATGTACAGGACAATTATTGAGAATATTCTCTTAAAATAGTCCCAAAGAAATTCGCACTCTCGACCTCCAAGGTGAAAGTATTTTTCATTAGACAATTCCCATAAGTTTAAACATCATGTGAGGGTTGAGAAAGTTAATAACTCCAACCTACCCTCAATCTAATTGTTGATAATAGGGTTTGGTCCAGGATTCGATAATGAAATTGTACTGGTCAATTCAGGAGAACAACTTCAATGGCGGCAATGGCATTAATCTTTTTGGTACTGCATATAAACTTTTCTTTTTTCTTTTTGAATTTTTTCTTCCTTGTCTTTGTTTGTGTTGGTGAGGTGGTAGTGGTGGTGGTTGCAGGGTTGATGGGGGTGGTTGAGTTGTGAGATAAAAGGAGATAATAAATCTTATTGAATGCATATTGGGGTTGTACGTATGGCTTTCAATGGAAATGGACATAAATTACATGTCAAATGAGTATGGTGTAGCATGGAACAAGTAATGACCTCTTTCATTCATGAATCGTCAATACATAAACAACAATTATTGAATTATGTTTAGCATAAGATTGAAAAAATCCAAAATTTAAAAGTAATTCCCAAGTCACACTATTCTTTTAAATGGTCACTCCGTACGCTTCGCTTCACACACGAATTCACATTCATTTCTTATGAACTCCGTACATTGCGCTTCACACGCATTCATATTCATTTCTTATAAACTCCGTACGCTTCACTTCACACACAAACTCACGTTTATTTCTTTTTCACGTTTATTTCTCGCACTCATTCCTACTCCGTGTGACTGACTTCTTTCAGTCTCGCTCTCAGTGACTTAAGGACCAGCATATTGTGTTTTTCATTTTTCATTTTGATTTTTTATTATTTGTTTTTATGTAAGTCGTGTCAATATATTGTTTGTTTTTATGTAAGTCGTGTCAAGAACAAAGTTTGTTTCAAGTTTCTGGTATCAATTCTATATTTAGGTATTGTTTCATATAGTGTATAGATTCAGCGGGGAGTTGTTTCCAAGAAATATATTTATAGAAAAAATTTATCCACAAAAATATAAAATAATAAAATCAACCTTTCTAACTAAAATTTGCACCCAGGAGAGAGAAGAAAAGAAAGTCAATAATAAAAGTAGCTTATTTATTTATTTATTTATTTTAAGTCAATAATACTCTAGGGCTATATGACTTTTCAGCACAAAAAAAAAAAGTAACTTTTTTATTTGTATTTTTATTTTTTTAAGTCAATAATACCCTAGGGCTATATGATTTTTCAGCCCAAAAAAAAAGTACCTTTTTTATTTATTTATTTAAAAAAAAAAAAAACAGTTTTCTAATACGTAGTAATAGTTTTAAAAAAACTGATCGTCAGGTGGGCCAAGTTGATGACTTGGCTTCCATCCACAATTTCCACTCTTTTCCATTTCCATTTCCATTTCCTCTGCAAGAAGAAAGAACACTAAGGACTCCACCACCATTCTCAACTTCCACAAGAAGGAATAGAATATATTTTCTTTCCAAAATATTCCGAGTCCTTTTAGTTTTTATAATAACACATCATTTTGGTGTTCCATGGAAAGTTTGGGCTTGTGTTTAATCTCGCTAAAGGGAACAATGTCCAAACAACATATTTATGACATTGACCTCTTGTATTGAACAAAGTTTTCGAAAATCTAATTTTACCAAAAAGGAACACAAATAGAACTTCTAACATCGACAGACTGAGGATCTCTCACTACTTGTTATATGCTCTAGTCACGCCGGCAAAGTTGAAGCGATTGACCGGTGAAGCTACAAAGAAGAGAAGAAAAGTTCAATAAAATGATTTTTTTTTGAAGTGTAAACATGTCACCATTAAGCAACATTGTTATACTTGCACCTTTAAAAACCCCATAGTTGTCTTACCTTTTCACTTGCGAATGGAAACATCTACGTGTAGGTAAGCAACGCAAGCCATGAAAAATAAGAAAAATACAGATGCCAACATCAATGGCTCTGCAAGCATGAAAATTGGATTGAATTCGTAGTAAACCTGTAAAAGAATATTACCAAGGAAAAAGATAAAGATGCGTTAATAACCACTACAATTGATATATATGTGTGTGTGTGTATCAGAAAGCACTAAACGATCATAACATGTGGCATGTATCCCTGGCCCATCACCTATCCAGGGAATTAGTCTTGCCAAGGGCAAAAACAAGTATTACTCGGTGCATCGTGAGACTCTGACCTATGAACTTAACGAAGGTGAATCGTCATCAAGTTGAGACCTTAAATAACTACCAACCGAGGTTTATCTAGGGCCACCCCAACTGAAAGTCATCAACAACAATAAACTGATTACATACATTATATAATGTTGTATCTAGAGAAAAATTATGTAACATGACTAGACATTCTTAAATTCAAATCTGAGACCTTAAATAACTACCAAATGAGGTTTATCTGGGGGCAACCCAACCGCAAGTTACCAACAACAATATGCTGATTGCACACATTAAGAATATATGTCAAGTTGTATCTAGAGAAAAATTATGTAACATGACTAGATATTCTTAAATTCAAATCTAACTCTTGAGCTACTAAGTTGAAGTATCTAATAAATTATGTTCGGCATCATAGCCCCACCAAAGTTCGGTTGTTTATCCTTCAGTTTTAAGACCATTATAGAGAGGTTCGATTGTTTTCCCATCCATTAGACAATTTCCACACAGAATTACACAGAAAAATACAATAAATTCAGTGTTTTAGAATACCAAAGATATAGTAGCATCAGAAGACATCTCAACTAACAGTTCTACGTCTCTGAATTTTCTATCAACAATACTGTTCACTGATATATATTTAATATGTTTAATACTGCTCAGATTTTGATAGTATTAGTATATTACCAAGAGGCCTGTCAATTTGAAAGCAATAATAAATTTTCCTAAAAATGGAAAGAAATATAGTCAGTTCATTATCTTTGCCTTTTACATTCTATCAAAACTTCAGAACTTCCGAGGTATAATGTTCAGCTAATGATGTCTGAAAATCTTAAAATTTAATTTAAGAAAATAAAAAATAAAAAATAAGGAAGGCCGATGATCAGTTCTGGTCAAATATGGACAAACTACTCTCTCAAAGTATATAAATTATTTTGTACCTTAATTAATTACAAGAATAATAAAAGATCTCGTATTAAGGAGGAGACACTCGCTCCAATCTATATTGCATTCACAATTCATTACACATCAGCTATAAAAAATTTCGAAATAACATATGCATATTCTCTAACTTATGGATGTAAGAAGTTTTCAACATAACATAGCTTTTTTGTATGGAGAAGTCTTTACCGTACATTAAATTTCGTCTATGTTTTTTTCTTATTTTTTGGGTAAGGAAATGTTTTCTATGTTGATTACAGTTTCTTTCAACATTCCTAATAAATATTGAAGATGCCAAAACTTTCTACAAGTTTAAATCTGTATGAAAGTACTACATATGGACAAACTACTCTCTCAAAGTATATAAATTATTTTGTACCTTAATTAATTACAAGAATAATAAAAGATCTCGTATTAAGGAGAAGACACTCGCTCCAATCTATATTGCATTCACAATTCATTACACATCAGCTATAAAAAATTTCGAAATAACATATGCATATTCTCTAACTTATGGATGTAAGAAGTTTTCAACATAACATAGCTTTTTTGTATGGAGAAGTCTTTACCGTACATTAAATTTCGTCTATGTTTTTTTCTTATTTTTTGGGTAAGAAAATGTTTTCTATGTTGATTACAGTTTCTTTCAACATTCCTAATAAATATTGAAGATGCCAAAACTTTCTACAAGTTTAAATCTGTATGAAAGTACTACATTGCCTGAACCAATTCACAGTTAACAGTAAACAAAGGTGAAAACTATATCTGTATGGAAGGTTCATAGATCACCTGGAAGGGAGAGTTGTGCTCAGGAACAACATTTTTCTTTTCCAAAACCACCACGGTCCTTCCAACAACATCAAGATATGAATATTTGGTCTGCAAAAATACAGATGACAGGCCATTTCAGCTAACACAGTATGACCAAGTCCTTGAGGCATATAATCAAAGCATTTATTTGGTGACAGAGAATATCTGCAACTCTACATTGCCTAGAACAGTAAAGTAAATATTTATCTAGAACAAAATACAGAAAATAAATATTTTCTAAATGGCATTTTCCGGATCAGTCATTAACATAGAATAAACCTAAGTTAAATGGTCTGCTCGAAAATGCATGGAGTACCTATCTATGTTGGACGAGACATTCGGTCCAGCATGTCGGGTTGAACATACACTTAACAAGTATATCCAATAAATTCAAAATTATTATATAATTGTGCACAGACTTTCTTATTTGATCCTTCTGTCCCATTATTGCTTCAAAACCAGTGAAACACCTATGTCAAAGCTATATGTTATACATAATTTTATTTTAGGAAAAAAAAAAAAAGAATATTAAACAATATGAATATTTAACCATTTTCCCATGTCCTTGGGTTTGCATTTGGGGCTTGATAAATACAATGCTTAGATACATTGCATGCGACACACGTAGCAGTCCATGTAACAAACGAATAAACAATATGACAGGATCAAATGAACTGGATGCTTTGCAATAAACCCACTAGCATCAATACACAAATACACATGTTACTTTTTAATTCGAAGAAGTGTGCATCTGCGTTACTGTAGGTTATAGATCAATAATCCCATAAAAATTACCTCCAGATGTTGTTCCACTGGAAAAGGAACCGCAGCAGAAGGGTTTTTTGATCCTTCTGGCAGCACCACCTAAAAGTAACAGCTTCTGCATCAGTATACGTATGCTCCGGCAAATTATGATGAGAGAACAGAAGTAACACAAGTGGGACAATCAGATAACCCAACAATATAAATTCATATAAGTGTACCCACTTTGATGGTCAACTTGTCTACCAATGTCTCAGCAAGAGGACATCCAAAGGTAAAGTTAAGATAACGCCTGCCATCAGGTGACTCAAAAAGGAAGTCTTGCAACGGTAACCCATATCCAATGATAAAAGTAGTCTTCCAACCCCCAAATAAAGGATATCTTGGCTCTATTTCCAGTTCCGACTGCAATTAAAGTAAATAAAAAGGTCATAAGTTACAAAGACAAAAAACAATATTTTCCAAACATAACATTAAAAAGAATTTTTGATCATCATATGATCGTATCCTAATTGATTGTTTCACGATAGTGAGACCATTTATCCAAATGAAGATGATCATAATTCCATTTAGAGAGAAATAAAATATTAGAAAACTCCAACAGACAGCAGCAGTTCTTCATCTGGAGGAAGGTGAGCAGATACAACTGGACCTATGAGGTTAAACCAGATCAGAAAAACGCCAACCGAGCACAACGACAGACTAAAAAGTTATGCTATTTGGGGTGCATATCACTCTAGGAATAACCAACTAGGCCAAAATTTCAATCAATTTTCTTTCCGGGAACATTTTGAATAATTATGTTAAATGAATAGTTTATAGGGGGGGGATTTTCACACTAGCTACTTAGAAGTCACTATCTTTAATTTAGGATTACAAACTACAACAATTCATGAATGAAATCTTTAAGGCTTTTAAATTAAATCTTAACATAATTAATAAGTTAACAAACTTAATGTACTAAATAAGACCTTTTTAACCTTAGTGTCCGGAGGAAACAACATAGACATATACCTTTAGGATAAATTTAACAAGAAAAATTTTCAAGTCCTACAACTAAATATTGTCCACTATATTGGAAAAGAAGAAATTGAGACAATAAATACCTTCCTAGAATCTGTACGTAAATGTGATGATGAAATATTCCCTATTTCATCCCGGTAGTAGACGGAGTGAACCCTAGGAGGTAGTCTTGCAAGAAGAAGCTTGAATGAGGACACGCCACTAAAAGATGGTCTAGACTGATATTCAACCCTGAGAAAAGGAAGCTTCAGAAGATGAAGATACAATGATTTGAGAATCAAAAACAAAGAAAAATATAAAAACATATAGTTCTAATTTTATGTACTTATGCATATATACATACTAAATACACCTACTTATCAAAAAATAACTAAAAATACATACTACATACACCCGTAATCCTTATAACTATATATATGTAAAATAGCCTCAATAGAACACTATCCAAATAGCCTCAATAGAACACTATCCAAACTTCAGAGAGAGAGAGAGAAATTGCATGTTTTATAGTTAAATGAAAGCAATAAAACTGTAAATTGTACCAGATTAACTAACAGCATAATATTCCAAAGAATCAATCCGTCCTTGGAAATTTGGTACGAGACAATCAAATTCTTGAGTTTCTAATAACTCTACAGGATTCTAGATAACTCCAAAAGCAATTAAAAACCATGTCCCATGTATCATTCGGAATTCAATCTATTCACTTCTTCTTACCATTAATAAGGCTTCCTAGAAAATAAGGGTACAGAATATAAAATGAAGAAGTACAATATAAACTAGATTGTACAATATAACTTGCATTTTCCTGAATTCCTATTCCTTAGATCTAAAAAAATTCAGGAAATCATATATGAAATCACGAATTCTCATATAAATTTAATATAAAAGGATTTACAAATCATGAGCTTCAAACCTTCATGTGGGAACTAAGAAGATCCAATAAGTATTAATTTGCAAAGCTTAATACATAATTTAGTTATTTTCTTTTCAAGTCAAATCAAGCTTTAAACAGCAGTTTTTACTAAAAAAAATAATATTTACATTATAAGATATCTCATCAATATAAACATCTTTACAAGTACAATTGCAGATGTTCTATTTACAATTTGGGGAAAATACCAGAAAAGTGGGTGATAGGAGAATATGGTTAGCAAGAAATTAAAGCACATTTGTTTTTATGATTATAATCTTCCACATGTCTTGCATTTGAATCCTAACAAAACAATAACAATTTGCTTAGTCTTTTATGTCAACAATTATCTACCATTCTACATCTTCGTGATGGTGACACTTAATGTAGGATGGCTCTCCACTTGATTAATTCATTTTCATAATTATAAAACAGCCAAAATAAAAAAACAAAGGAAAAAATACTGGCATTTTCCCTACCACATCCAAATTTGAGAAGAAATAAGAATTAAAATGTCACCTGTAACCAATAATAACCTAACCTTGAAAACACGCCTTTATGTCGAGCACCAGCATGAACCAGCTTGTAATGCTCTGTAATCTGAATGCTACCCCAATGAGATATTTCCAATTCACGCACAAGCTCCTCAACAACGGCAAATGGATTGTCATTCTCAAAATGAACAAGTATGGGAGAAAATGAATACGGTGGATGTTCACTATATGGCCCATACTTTATCTCTGTACCTGCATGGTAAACTGGCTCCACTCTAGTGAATGACTCCACCTTAGTACTTGGCGTCTTGATTAATGTTATCTGTTGTTTAATATGATAAGGTGACAGTATTGCTGCACCATCACGGTAATAAACCAATTGTGTCTCTGACTGGCTTATCTCTACTGGGAAAGGTTCGAGAGAGTGTGTCAATGTGTAAAACACTTCTAGTGTTATAGATTCACCCATGCCCAATGGTTTGGATAACAATATACAGAAGTATTTAGTTCCATTTGGCCCATCAGGCAGGTCAGTTGGGTTTACATCAAGAGGCAGATAAGACTTTTTCTTCTTCTTTCCGAAAACAGCTGCTGCTTTGACCAGTGCTATATGATCAATCTGTGTAGGAGGAAAAGCAAGGAGGACTTCTGAAGCAGGAGAATTCCCATTATTTTCAACCTGAAATAGCCACCCAAGACAATGCTTAGTTGGCCAGAGCCGCCAGATTTGGAATTGGACGGTAGGAGATGTGTATTCGCCCATATATTCTGGCCAAAATTATAGAAGGACACAAACAGAACTTGAAATAAGGCAATTGGTAAAGTTGCAAATTAACTGAGCTGTTTATGGACAGCTTGAGCTTGATACCATGAGATCTCTATTCATGTTTGTTCATTAAACGAACGACACAAACTCATTTCTGTGACTTGTTTATAAAATGCCTCATGACTCGTGAACTTGACAAGCTTCATACCTATTTAATGATAAATAAAGTGATAAAATATAATAATATAAAAGAAAATAACAATATATAATAAATATTAAAATGAATATACAATAAACTATTAAAATGAATATATAGTAAACTATTAAAATGACAATACCTAGCACAATGAGCTGAACTGAGTTTGCTCATGAATAAACCAGTTTGAGTTTGAACTCAGCCTTTTAAACTCATCACGACTAACAAACAAGCAAGCTCGAATAGTGTCGAGTTCGTCTCTGTTCATTTGCACCTTAGGTCCTTAATATAAGTTTGCAGAATGTAACCACAATTATAATTTATGAAACAAAAGCCAGACCGTTGCATATCACGCGATGAATGCAAATGGCTTCTCACTTGTTTCTACCATAAATAATAGAAATGAAGTCCGTATATTTGTCAAAACTCAAAAGTGAATCAAAGTGTGCTGGAGAAATACCTTCAACGTCAAGTAAACCCTCACAATGTGCGAAGTTAAGTCAATCTGCACCAATAGTCAACATATTATTAGTTCCATACTCAGAAAAACCAAACACGAACCATTAGATCCATAATAGAAATCTAAATCACAACAAAGGACAATTCATACAAACTTCAATCATAGAAATGCCTAAATCAATTAAAACTTCAATCAGCTAAAAACCTAAATAAATCAATATAACGCTCTTTCTATCATCAACAAATATCCAGTATCACCAATCAACAATCTCATCACAAAATTAAGATGTATATAAATATATATATACACACACACACACACACGCACGCACATAAGAAAATGTGCATACACATGCGTATGTGTAAGGTTTAGATGAGTGAAGGTTTGCTCTCGGGTCTCCCATAATGAAAAATCTAAGACTCGACGTTTTGATTTCTCTCCATTTCCTACACTTTTTCGGCAACCAGAATAATTTCTTGATAAAATATAATTAGCAGTGTTCATTTAATCTTCTTTTCGTTCAATCTAGCAACGAAACGCAAAATTAGAATGAAATTTATAGAAACGAACGAATTATATATATCACCATCGAAAAACGAAAACTAAAACCCTAGATTCCAGATTTTGCTCTTGGATTGTTCATACAGAAGTTGAATTCATTTAAACTAATTAGATGGAAAATTCACGATTGAGAAAGCTTACTCGGCGTTCGGCACTGACGATCTGGAGTTCCGGAGAAGAGGGAGAAGACGATCTGACGAGCACTAACAAGTATGCGACGACTGAGAAAATTAGGGCTAATCGAAGTCTCGGCAGACCTTCCATGATCGTCTCTTCTCTCACCAGATTGACGAAGCTGCGAAGACTAGACCGTATGTACTGTATAGTGGAGGGGGTTTCCTAGATGGGCTTGGGTCGAATTAAAGATCTTGTATCCCAATCATAAGTGAATTGGATAATCTGTCTATACTTTGGCCCAATATTTTGCACTCAGATTAATTAAAGATTGGGCTTGACTAGAGTTTGGTCCGATGGCTCAAACAAAGCATTTGGGTCCCATTTGGCAATTGCCGGTAGAACGAAAAAACTATTATGAAAAAAGAAAACATGTTAGGAAAAAAAAAAAAAAAAAAAAGAGTACAAAATATGTTAGGTGTTTAGTGACACGTTATTCACAATTAAAGTATTTTTTAACTTGTTTGGTAATAATATTTTTTTAAACACTTCAAATGTTAATTTTATAATAATATCTTTAATAAAATGCTACAATATTCAATACTAGCAACTTTTAAAAAAGAAAGGGTGAAATCGTCTTTATAAAAATAATTAAAAAAGGACAAAATTGTTTAAGAACAAATAGTTACCTAAAAAATACCGCCTTTGCTAAGAAGCAGTTTTAAAAGCTAGTTTTTGCTTCATTCAAAAACTCAACTAAACAAAAATTAGTACTTATTAAAAGTGCTTTTAATGGTTGCTAAACACATCTAAATGTAATTTTTTTTTAAATAAAAGTGATTTTAAACTTTGACACAACTAAACAAAAATTGATATCTATCAAAAGTATTTTTAATGGTTGCCAAACATATCTAAATGTAATTTTTTAAAAATAAAAGTGCTTTAAGATTAGACTAGACGGGCTTCATTCAAGGGTAAAATAATTATTTCAGCAGTAGAAAAGTTTTAACAAATATTTTGCCAAACAGACAAGAAAGCTCTTCTGACATTCAAAGCTCTTTTAAAATACAGTTTTCAAAGACTAACACATAAAGCCAAATATAAGTGATCACTTATACTTTTTTTTCTTTTCTTTTTTTTTCGCAATCCCCTGTACATGCACAACAATTGGTATTATTTATTTACATAAAGTGATTGTTAATATTTAAACTCACGTTATTATGCTTGGATACAATTCTACCATTTGATATTATTTTAAAAATACTCTAAGCAGCCCTGATTATTGAATCATCGAGAAATAAATTAAATTTTAGTTTAGATTGTGTTTGTAGAACGTAATAAATTTAAGTCAAGAAGCACAAATTAAAAATAAACTCGCCAATTTGCTCATTTAGCAAAACCCAAGCTAATCTTGGGTGAAAGTCCTAGAAAGCATGACACTTCTATGAAGGATTCTTGTATCGTGTCCATAGGGACAAACTCAAAAGGCTGAAACTCATGTGAGGGGGTAAACACGGAATTTTTTTTAATAATTTCAGAGGAGCAAAGGTAATATTCATAAGTATATATGTCAAAATAAAATAAAAAAATAGTGGGGCATAATGATAAAAAATAAAAATAAATAAAAAATTCAAGGGGGACAATTGCTCCTGGGCACTGCATGGGTCCGGCCCTGTGTGTCTGTACACTTGTGTCCTTAAATAAAATAAAATATTATTATTTTTTGGACATTTAGCCAACATTTTCAGACATTTTGTTGACACTTCTTCAACAATTTATGATATTTCTAGCAGAAGTCTACTCGATAATATTTAAAATAATATAAACATGTGTTCAATTTTTTCTTTAAGAAAAATCGACATTATATAAATGATCACAATTAAAGCATAAAATGATATTTGTTCATTTGAAATAAAAACTATTGATGACAAAGTAGTAGAGTTTCCGTATGTCTGATATAAAAATCTTTACAATAATGACATAATTTTATTTTTCTAAATTATTTAATAACAACACTTATTATATAAATTAGAAATGAATTACTGGATCTCATGTGGTTTGTCCAACTTACACGGTTCTCTCCCATCGTTTTAAACATACACTGATCTCCCCTCAAGATGAAATGTTATTATACATACCTCCTTTTTAATAGTCAAAGCCAGTCCACCACGAAAATTAAGGATCACTCCAAGCATCATCTCTTTCAATATAACTTTCACATAGTTTTCCTCCAAAGTTATTTTCACTCAACATTTAGGGCTCATATTTGAGGATCACTCAGCAATGATCGATTCACTCACCTACTTCAACAAGTTTTGGGTATACTTTTCTCAACCCATTATTCTTCTCAATAGATAATTTTAACCTAGTTTTGGGTATCATTTGATCCACCCATCATTTTTCTTTTCACCCCAAATTTGTTCCCAAACAAAAACTCATTTTGGGGGAGGTGGGTCACATTACTGGTAGATAGAAGTGCATGTTATTTTCTTTTAAAAGTGGAGTGGGAATATTATCTCTCTATTATTATTTTATTTTATTTTTTTGCACAAATATTTGATTAGATGACGAACTAATGAAGATGAGAGCTCAAACTCCTCTTGATATACATATATATATATATATATATTATATATACACACATATAGAGAGAAGAAAGTTTGGAGAACCTAACTAAATGTGAATGAATGAGAGCTAATATAAAAATGGGTTCGTAAAGTCATTTTGACTCCTTAGTTGGGGTATTTAAATAAAATAATTATTTCGGTTAGTTCTGTCCGTTACTAAAAATGGTAATCCTTGTCACAAAGTTTCAATTTTAATAAAAGTCAGAGTAATATTTAAAATTATAAAAAAAACCTGAAAATCCACGTAATTTACCTTTATTATTATTATTTTGGTAAACATTAGAGAAAAAGGAATAAGTCGATAACATTATATTTCGAAATATATCAAAATAAAAGGAAAAAAATATAATGAAGATTTTTGACCTGATGACATTTTGAGGAATATGTCTGGGTGAGGGTGAGAGAAGAATGTCAAATTTACAATTGTCTCTATCTCCCATTGTGATACAATATACTTGCAATGAATGAATAATCTTTTTATTTATGTATCAATCAACGTAATTATGTATGCACCTAACAGTTGTTACTATATGCAAATCAATGTAATCATGTATGCTACACTTGTTACTATAAACTTATCCAATCCATCAAAATGTTCACATTTTGTACATTCCTAAACAACTCATAAATGTGCAAGAATTAAACTATGAGACTAAATTCAATATCAATAATATATATATATATATATATATATATATATAGAAAGCGGCTCGTTAAAGAATACTACATACAAATAAGGAAGTTAAACAGTGAAGATTGACCTCAAAGATTACATATATGATTAATCTAATACCAGACAGAGAATTTCAAGATTTAAATACTACTGTACGATACATTCCATTCATATATATATACATATATATATTCCTATTCCTATTCATTTACATATATAACTGAGAACACTGCCTTTTTCCTGTAACAGCACGATCCGACTTCCCCCCTGGATTTTCCCCCCTTGAGACTCGGGAATTTCTCTCTCTCTACATAAAAATAAAAAATAAATAAAAATCTCATTCTCTCTCTAGTCTCTACCCAGAAGCGAGGATCACCCGGATAAAAAATACTCCACCTTTTCGCTAAACCTCTCTGTTATTCCTTGGCGTTACATTTCGATTATATATATATATATATATATATATATATATATATATATCTATATCTACTACTGTATCATTATCACGACAGTAGTGAGTGATAATACATGGCGTACTTGAAGTTGGGATCCAAATCTGAAGTTTTTCTACTGGATGGCGAAACCTGGTTTGTCATTTATTTTCATTTTGATTTTGATTTTATGTATCATTTGATAATCACGAAATGGGTACGTGTGTTTGTCATTTATACATCCAGTACTTTGGGGATTAATTTTTTTTGCTTCAACGTTTAATTTTGATTTGCCCATTGCTGTGTTGGATTTGTTTTTTCTATAACACTGTTTGATTGCTTATTTAATTGTTTTTTTTTTTTTATATAACGAATAACCGATCGTGTATGAAATCAGTATACTAGGTTGAGTCTTAGCTTTACCCTTTTATGATTCACATTTTTCATGAGAGAGTAACATTGTTGAATGATGGGTTTTTGTGAAATTTATTCAAAGAGGTCAATCCATGCTGGTATCAACAGCTTCACTGCATTTGTCTGAGAAATTGGAGATGTTGATGAATAATGATGTGTGTGAATCAATGTACATTGTAAATTTGTGAATGTCTTTGTGTAAAAACTTTCTCTAAGATTCATTAGGAAGAATTGTTTGAAATAATAGTTCTCTCAACTCTTTCACCCCCTATCGTTTGTTGAAACCTGTTATTCGTGCCCCAATAGGTGTTGTGATTCAATGCTAATTGAGATGGTTTGGATTCATGGTGTAATGAGATGCGTCTATATGAAAGTTATTAACCGAGTTTATAGGAAGAGATCCGAATTTAACACTTCAATATATTGTATAGCTTTTGATTCGATGGAATAATGTGGCTCCGAATTCCAATCTCAATTGTCAAGACTATAAATAAGTGTTAAATATTACAAGATTCATACCTCCTGACAGGACAGAAAAGTTTACACTAAGAAATATGGTTTTTGAATGTTTTGATTAGTTTGTATCTAAATCATCCCCAAACTTACTTTAAGTTATATTAGTTTAAGGAGATTGTATCAAATTGGGCACTTGGTTTATTTTTTCTGACACCAGATTGGTCTGTGTATGGATTCCTATAGACATGCTGTGTTCTGTTGTGTGCCCAAGTTTCAACTTTGTCTGATATCAAAACTTAGGAAGTGGAAACATACATGAAGTATCATTTCCATTGTAGGGTAAAATGAAATTTCATTTTAATATATATCATTACTCATGGGTACTTCACTCAGTTTGAATATGAATGTACCAGATGAATAGACAAAGAACACGGTTAAGCAATTTCAGATTGACTAGGAATGTGTTTTAGCTTCCTTTTGAAGGATCATTTGAGTTAGTCGGGTATGCACAAGCTATCCCTAATCAAATCTGAATATGTGATTCAGGGTGTGAACAAAGAAATTTGAATATACATAGTTTCAGAGG